GGCCATTATCATTCTCGTGAGGCGTCCTTGCTATTCGCCCCGCGCGAGCGGAACCCTCGCTCGATCTAACCCGCGTCATAATCAGTAACTACGTTTAATGCGCTGCAGAATACCGGGGAAATGACAAAGTGCGAATGAACAAGCGGCGCGAAAAGTTTGAGCGAGTAAGCGACGAGCGAAATAATAATCTACGGATTAAACTCGTGGACCGCTTCGCGAAAAAGTCGGAGCCGTATTAACTCTCGTTGGACGAAACTTTTTTTCTTCCAACGATAGAAGAATGTTGATCCGACTTTATTTTGCGGGATCAAAATAATGAAATTAATAAACGCTGAATATTTTTCTACAGTATTTTTACGACCGTGTAGCATTATGAATAAATAAAATCGTTTTGTTTTTATATATATAAAAAAAAAAGCGTTACTTTAACATGTGATCCATTCATTCGGTGACCTATTTTTTGAGCTATAAAATTACAATGGACAAACATATTTCTGCACAATATGAATAATAGATTTGCATGTAGGAAGATTTTGTGTCATATACACTGCATGGCGTGATAATTGAACGCAGAGTTTATTTTAAATTTAAATATGAATTTGTTAAATATTATAAGAGATGTATAATGGAATTTTTTTTATATTATATTTTTACAATTATATTCTCTTGTATTTCGTCGAGTTTTTCTACTATTATCTACATCTCCTATTATACGTACATTCCGATATCCCGTGTAAATTTTTATAAACAGAAAAAATTTTCTCGCTTATGTGTCTAATATATATAGAGATCGAAAATAATAATTCATTATTATCGTGTCTGATTAAACGAATATTGCCAACTTTTATGTATGGTATCTCGTTACCGATAAATTATTCACGTGCCGCTAGTGATACGTACATTAAAACGTATTTAATGCGTTTAAAAGATCTTTTTCCTTGCAAAATCATTTATATAAATGATATAAATTTACCAAGGAATTAATTGTTTTGTATATTATTAGTTTCTTCGCTCGATTTATTAATATGTTTTATTGGACAAATATTTAATATCATGATATATAACATCACGTAAATTACTTTCTTCATAAAAAAAAAAAAAAAAAAAAAAAAATGTTTTTCACGAATTTTATTTTTAGAAATAAGATTTAATGTGTTAAACCGGATTTTTTAAAATATCGTGTAAGTGATATACAGAATATACGATTTCCATGTACAATTCTCTTTCGGGCGGCTAGCAATTTAGGAACGCTGGCGGTCGGCAACTGGGGAACGCTTATATTCGAGACTTCGAGATTCGAGGTGTCGAATTTTCGAGGTAGGCTTCCGTTTCGCGCGGCCCTCCAGGGTTTTGCAGGTATATCCCACTTCGTGAACGGCCGTCGGCTCATATATTTTACGGCGGCGCGCAGTAACTAACAATTCGTAGTTTGCGGCCCGCCGCTATATTTTCGTCAGTTCATTCCCGCGAGGCACTCGAAAACCGCCGATTTATTGCCGAGGCCCCCTCCTCTCCCTCTTTCTTTCTGATTTGCCGGTGTCTGTACGCCCGGCCTTCTTAACGTAAAATCGCTTCGTATCCGATTATTCATTAATGATATCACTCGGAATGTGAAACGCGAAGCTGAAGAAAAAAAAAACCTGATTTCTCTTTTGTTCGCTTGATTTAATAAGTAGCGTCCCTTTTACCGTTCGGAATCCGCACAATTCTATTAATAAATCATTTAATATGCGAGATTAACATTTGTATGGAGAGCACTGAACATTCATATCGTGGATAATTCGATTTCCGTTGAAATAAAATACGAGAAATTATATAATATATAATATATAAATACATAACGCAAAATTAATTGGATAAAATATATATAATCGTGGTGTAGAATAAAAGAGAATAGAAGTATACGTGCTGAGAATAAAACTAAAAAAAAAAAACGTATATTATATTTTATGTATAATACCACACACACGTGCTAAATAGAAACTTTAGCTCGAACGATTGCGATTGTAAAATTCTCCCGCGAACAACATTGGGTGCTTTCCATTTAGTGACTCAAGTCGACACAAGCATCATTCTATCTTTGTTGTTCACTGGTATTGAAAGAAGATAGAATGATACTTGTGTCGACTTGAGTCACTAAATGGAAAGCACCCACTAGTCTATCGCGAAGTTTCAGGAGATCGTCTCTGCTCGATTCTTAAACTTTTCAATTATCGATACAACGGGAGACGGGGACGACTTGTTCAAGAGTTGTTGCCTTTGCTCCGCAGGGGAGGGGGAGGGTCTCATTTGACATGAGAAAACGTTGGATTATTTAGAAAAGAGGCTTTTATCGCGCCGTGGGGAAGATAAAGTTGGCGGGTGGAAAGGACGAGAGGGGGAGGTGGAGGTAGAGAGATACAAACTCGCGATCGGCCGGCCGTAACACCATCCCATGCGCTCATTCTCTTGGGAGGAGTACCGGTAAAGGTGTAAATTACGAACTCGTCTGACGGCGCGAGCTTGAAGTATTTGTTGAACCGCAGCGGCGTCGGCGGCGTCTCTCTTTTATACGGGGCGCGCAGCGAAGATCCTTTCGCGCGCCGCACGAACGACTGGTGGAATACTTTGGCATAATTTATGAGTAAAATAAACTCGCCAACGAGCCATGAATATCTTCGGCGGCGTAAATTCTACGCTGCCTGCTTGCCGGCACGAGCGACGACGACTCTTCCTCGTCGCCATCGTCGTCGTCGTTGTCGTTTCGACGCGCGGTAATGGTGCGTTACGATGAACACATTTTTACCGTATCACAGAGCGTGATCAGTTGCGCTGCTTTAAGAGAAGAAAAGTAAGCAATCGAAATTTCCGAAGTCACCTTTTATGACTCATCGAGAAATTTTATAAGAAATATCGTATAATAACGCATATAATAATTCGTATAACTTGTGCGAACTGATTGCGAGAGGATAAATATGCATAAAAAATCATGCCTCGATTTAATCGCCATTTAGATATTTTGTAGGGGGAAGTGTTCTGAATAATTCCCCGCAAGAATCAAGTGGTGGACAACATTGGTTTAGGAGATATAACAAATTAAAGTTTCACAGTTTTAATGCTTTTTCTCAGATATTATATAAAGTAACACATTAGGAAAAGTGAAGTTTGTGTACGTTGTATTTGTTGTAGAGAGTAGACGTGGAAAAAGTGTTTGTTTACATTGATGGGATAGGTACACAGTCATGGATATTTTGTCAATAATGTGTTTCACCTATTTCTCGCAGTTCGTTAACAGCTTTCAACATGTGAACATGAATTTCCGAGTCTTGTCTTGAAAAATATTATTTATTGAATGCGTGGGCGGGGGAGGGGCTCCGCCCTTCCTACAACATATCCAAGTGACGATTAAATCGGTGAGATATGACTTTTTATGCATATTTACCAAAATTTATTATTAAATGTACAAGGGTCCTGAAAGGTTTCCTTGCGCAGCTTTAAATCTTAAAGAAGATGTTCAAAATGTCCTTTTTGTGAGAAGTTATACAAGCTTCTCCACGTCCATACACGATTATCGCACACGATGAAAAATTCGAAGGTTATTAAAGAATAATTACAACGCGATCCTTATATTGTATACATATATACAGATTGCCGCGGAAATGGCCGCGTCATCACGTTCGAAGGAAGTAAAGCCGTGAGGGAAGACAAGCTCGGAGCTCGCGGCTTACGAATATGTAAGCGACCGCGTTTATAAATTGCAGCCTAGACGAACGAACGTGCACTGTGCCGACCATTATCGGCCGGCCCTTTCGCTTCGGAAAGTGTTACGGCGTAATAGAAACCGACGCGATAACGTTATCTGCCACCCATGTAACGCGCTCTGTCTGCAGCGGAGTGATTAATACGAGGCTGCCGCCGCCGCCGACGACGTCCATCCTGTTTCTCGATTCGCCGCCGCCGACGTCGAGTGTGGCCGGCGCGAGAGAGAAGGAGACGTTTATTTCCAAAAAGGAGCAACGAAGGATTATCGGGAGGGGTCATAAATCCTCCGTTCCGGGGCGGCGGACTCGGGCGTGGACGGGAAGGAGCGGGAGAGCGCCCTACGAATCCTTCGGAGCACTTGTGCGCGCGAATGCTACACCTGGTAGTGCTGAAAAATATTGGGGAATTAGCGCGCTAATTCGGAAGGTCTCTAATCGTCCTCCTCTCGTAACGGAGATAATTGTAGTGATAACTCCATTGCAATGACACGGAATTAATTTGGAGCGTTTGCGATAATTGAATCAGACGGTGCAAGAAGGACGTGAAAGATAACTCTCTCTCTCTCTCTCTCTCTCTCTCGCTCTCTCTCTCTCTCTCTCTCGAATAAATTAGGAAAATTAATTACATTTTCTTTTTTAAAAAATTGTTTTATTAAATTTTAAAACATTTGATAAGTATATATAAGCATGTATTTATGCATAATAATAAGGCGATTGGAATACGTCAGATCGCACTGCTATCGATCGCACAAGAAACGAATCTCCCTGACCATCACGCTAATCACGGAGCGAGCAATTACCGAGGATAACGTTAATCGCGTTAAACCACGGTGCGTGCTGGTTTGATTAGCTTCCGTTTGATTCCTTCTTCCTTGACGAGCGATCGTTACTACCCGCGATCTAAACAATCATTCAGTTCGCTCACGATTTGTCAACACGCAAACATACATGTGTGACGACGACGTCGCATCCTTTGTGTTGACCAGCGTGCGATTGCAACTGTTCAATAATCCATTTGTCGATCATATGCCATTAAATTCAGAAAATTTATTGAAGGTTTTCTCTATATTTTTTTATTAATTTTTTTTTATTTTCCGAAAAAGAGGAAATTTTTATCAGTTCTATCAATGAAATCAAATCACGAAAAAATACACGATTTATTATAATTACATCGAATATAATTAATATTCAATCGTGACATTCATTCGCGCTATTTACGAAAAATTAATCGATGAATTTTTATTTTTTTTCACGTTTCAGACTCTATCATTCTCGACAAGTTTTTAATGGTGAAGCACTCTTCCGCGGATAAAACTTGGCTATCTCGTGTGCTGCGAAACCAATTGACGATGAGCACTCGACAGGAATACGCTCCACCACCTCGTCCGCAAATGCAGCTGCCTACTCAAACTGTCCTCTCGCGCGCACGTGCGCAACCGACTGCATCCGTAATGTGTACGTAAGTATGTACGTGTAGTATTTTCAGAGAGGCTTTTGGGTGTTTGGTGGAGAGAGTCTGGTCTGTGCGCGCTCGTTGAAAATCAATGTGGCCCGCGCGAATGAACGCCGGCCTCGCACACGCGACAAATCCGAAATCCGATTGTGTATTTTTGAGATTTCAACAAGGCCGTATTAAATGCGTGTTTGTTGCGTCCCGCATTTTTATATTAAACATTTTCCGTGATCGCGCAACACGCGCCCCGCGCGGCGCTATTAAAGAAACATTTTTCCTCGCTCTTTTCTTCCGGCGTCCGTGAAATTCTGATCGAAATTTCATTCGAATTTATCGTCAGTCTCGGGCAAGATTAAATGTAGATGATGCGATATTAAATTCGTCTCTGCGTGGGATTTTATCGTCCACGGCTCGATATAATACGCCGCCGCTGATTCCGCGTCGTTGCACATTGAAGATAACGAGAGCTGTGTCCGGGATTGTCTTTGGCAAAAATAAGATCTGCGACTGAAGGAGTTTGTTTGAATATATGAATGTTTCATACGCGTTCGCGTTCGAATATGTGATTTTATTGTATATATAGCTTACTCCGGGGAGATATCGATAAACACTTGTAGATACAATGTGTAGTCGCTTACTAGATCCTTTCGTACATACGTACGTACTTCATTCTTTGTAGTGCCTTATGCTTTATACATTCGCAAAAGAAAAAAGCTCGGAAAAAGCCGCGGCTTTCTGTCCTTCTTGTATCCGATGCAATCTGCCATGACCTAAGATGCGAAATATTTTTCCAACATCTCATACCTTATTTACGCTTTAAAAATATTCTCAAAAACTCTAACGAATAAATTTATGCTTTCTTCGCGTAATCGGAAAAATTTATTCTGTATATTTATTATTTATTATTCACGTGAAAAAAATATCTAATATATAAAAGAAAACGCGATTGTGTCGAGAAAATTGTGGGGTAAAAAAATCGTAGATGGTCCATTTACCATTAAATCGCTCAGTGGAAAGCTTTCAACGCGGGAAACAGATTTTTGTGACCGTGCGAAAAAAAAAAGAAAAAAAAATACGCCGGGTTATCGTCCGACTGCGAAATCCAGGAAAAGGACCGAAAAAAAGATCGGTGCAAGGGGAGACAGTCCGAAAATGTTCAGTGACCCGCGGATACGCTCGTGTTCACGGTGATGCGTCATTATCAGGGACACCCGCTTCGGTTTCCGCGCGCCGACGGCGACGTCGCGCAGTTCATCAAAGTAGCAGAAACAGAGAACGTGCGAGGCTACGGCACGTACGCGCGGTATCTATTCACACCATACCACGCGTGCAAACACACACGTGGCGGTGGGCGTGCAAGCCGCATCCGCATCCGCATGCGAATCCTCCGATCCCCCGCCACGGCGATTCTTCCCCGATTGCGAAACGCAATCAAAAAGTTTTCCGCGCCGCGACACGGCCGCGCTTCCGGCTAATATCCGCGCGGGCAATGGAGCAGAGATAGTTCCGTGGTGGTGACAATTTCCAATCAGTGCGCGGAAATGGCGCGGATGCCATAATATTTCGCGGGGGCGACATCCCTCTCACCGCTCTCTGCGTTTCTCTCCTCAGCGCGGTCGCGCCGCTCCCCTTCCTCCATCCTCTCGCACGGCGACGTCGCTCGCCGTTATCAGGCGTCTCAGACGGATATGAAATTCTCCGAGTCGCGGCCGCAAAATGGTATCCCAGGGGTAAATTATACCCTCAGCGCCCGCGCGCGCGCGCGTCCCCGGCCGCGCGGCTCTTCGCGGATATATTATGTATAATCTTAATCGGCGCGCGCTTACGATCTCTTTATAGCCTGCGTCGCGCGACGTGTCTGCGAATGCGAGCGGAATTGCTAGCTCTCGCAGACGCGAAAGCGCGGCGCCATTATTCAATCGTCGAGGCGGCCCAGATAGCACCGTGATCGAGCACGTACAACATTTTTCCTCTGGTCGACCACCCTCCTTGCAACCCCCCGCGCCATCCCGTAACCCGGGGGATGGTTTGACCAAGGTACGACCCAGAATCAATATCCCGAATGTTGAGTCTGATGGATTTATGACCGTGAAAGGTGTCCAGGTCGCGGGCGAGTTTTGGCGTAAGAATTATCGGTGGGAAGATATTATGTCACGTAGTCTCCGGAGAGAGAAGGAGGGCGACGGAGATTTGAGGCCTGCCTCACCGGAAAACTCGAAGATCACGTCATCTTGATGCATAGTTTCTCGTGAGATAAATTAGCAATCTAGCAAATGCTTGCATTTTAACAGTAGATATATCGAGGGATAGAAAACGGATATCTCGCAATCGATCGACTTTGGCCGGTAATGATCCTCGATTAGAAACCGATTAATGCCATTCTCGTTAATTAATGATAATTGTGACAAATTTACATGCTTCGATATTCTCTTGTTTGCAAGGACGAATAAAACATTACTCGTTGTTATTTTAATTGGACACGACGCGAATTTAGACCAGAATTGTCGGATAGCCGCAATAAATTATAATATGAATAGATTATGAGTTATTCCGTCTAGTTATTTCCGTCAAGCTTTTTTTTTTACGGATAATAGAATAATGCAAGATTTCCAAATTATCATAACGTATTTATTAAACGACGTATTTAAATAACTTCAATATTTAAAATTTTTCTATTTGTTTTTTATATTTCTTCAAATAGAAATAATTTTTTACTGTCTACGAAACTTCTCAAAAAAGTTCGCTACTCTCTCTCTGCTGACATTTAGTACGTCAACATTCATCCGAGAATAACGGCTTTAGAAATGAAAAGCGCGTACCAGAAGGAGAACACGCGCCGTTAAAATGGAATAACCATCGCAGTGCTTTCAAGGCAGTTTGACATTACTGTTAATCGTTCGTCATCGCCTCGATGGTCATCGACACGCCGTAAAAAGTCTCGCGCCATTTCTGAATAACTGGTTCGCTCTTCCTCTGCGCTCGTCCATCTCTCTCTCTCACCTGCATTTCCCTTAATCTCCCGAGCTTCTCGTTCTCCTCGAAAGGAGAGACGCAAGGGTGCGAGCGATTACGTGTCGGCAAAAGCGGGAAGAGGAACGGCGGAAGGCTGGGGGAAGGCAAGGGCGCCGAATAATTAAACCCGGTAATGTCTGAGCATTAGAGCAGATGATGACGTCATCAAACGCCCGGTCCTCGACTTTCCGGCCCCTCGCCCTCTATCCGCCAAAATTTGCCCTCTGCGCAATCCTCCCCGCACGGAAGAGGTTCCATAGTATTACCGTCATTACTCTTCCTTTACCCCGTCCCTCCCCTCTCGGTCTTTCCTTCTACGCTCCCCCCGTTTACCGTCCGGTCTCGTTGACTTAATATCCCCGAGTTAAAAACATATGGGTTAAGGATAAAGTCATTAAAAAATCTTATTTCCCGATGGTGGACGTGACGACGCAATCTTGCCTGAATTTTTTAAGGACCGTGAGAAATTAAGACTTGTGTTATAACGCCATTCCGAGGGCATCGACTTATAATGTTCGGTATTCGTTGCAAAAATACCGATAAAATTAACGAGCCAAATTGGCATGAAACGACAAATTGACATCGATTCACCACTTTACTATTATATCACGAAGTAAAATTTAATATTCGAATTTAAGGATCGTGTCAACGTAATACGTGCAATCGTTTTATATCAATTTAAAAAAAAAAATATTATTTAATAAGTGCGACTCTTCATATATATCGTTCGCGTATAGAGTTTATCATTCACTAATGCGTACGCGATTATAAAAGCGACACTCGACGAGCCGATGTCACGGACGTAGTTGTCAGAACTAGCGGCGAGTGAATGCTCGCATACTCGTTTATTTCCCGAAGGAGAAAAGCGACAAAATTACCCCGTTATATTTTTTTACGTCGTGGTGCACGTGTAGCGTAATGGCACGAGGGCTAGTTCCACCCGAAGAGAGCGAGACAGAAAGAGAGGGAGAGAAAGAGAGAAGACAGGGAGAACTGAAAGAGATCGACAGAGCGAACCTCATTCGTGGTCGTTAGGAAATAATTAATTCGGGCCCACCATGTCCACGCACGGCCGAGCCTTATGTACGCTTCATGGTCGTACCGTATGGTAATGCGCTTCAACCCGCGTGACATTTCGCCCTCTCCCCCTACCTCTTCACCATCCTGTTCTCTTCCCGTAGGTGCGGAGGGTAGCCGAGCGTTTTCGTGTTCCAGCTTGGTCCGTGATTCGTGCAAATTACGGTCGACGACGAATCTCTCCTACGTACGTACGTAACGTTGTCCGGTTGTCGTGATTTAGAGACGGCGTCGTCGGATAAGAAGTATGTCGATCCCCTTTACGGTTTATTGCGGTCACTACTCTATACATGTTGGGCGTGCACGTCTATAATAATAGTTTCGTTATCGGTCTTCGCACGATGGTGAGATATAATATATATTGGTGAGATATTAATACCTCGGCGTGCCCCGCGCTGTGCGAGAAATGGGTTTACATATTTTATTAAACCTGAATCGTCCGTAATAATTCGAAGAGGGTAAAATGTTTCGGTTCTAAGAGTGGTATCCCTTGACAGTTGATTGTGTCGGGAGGGATCTCGCAATCAAAAGTTCGTCGAGGCGGTTTTTAAACCACTTTGTGTCGAATTATAAAAATAATTGTCCAGAGTTTGGAGAGGCATCTTGGCGTTACGTGAATTATAGATTTCCGCGTTGCCTCGAATCGCGTATATTAGCGTCTTGGAGAAGGGAGGAGGGCGGATAAAAGGATTAGTGAAGTTTCCTCTTCTTTCTGGCGAGGATCAGCCGAGCTAGAGAAAATGCTTCTGCCGATACCACGAGCGTTGACCGACGCGAAAGTTGGTCGTCGCGTCGGTTAGAATTGTACGAATGAACTCCGGCAAATGTCACGGTTCGACGGCTTAATCGATCCGGCTTATTTCGACGGCGGCGTGGTGGTTTGACGTCAAGGAACCATCGTGCCATGATATGCACATCTGACCGCGCGAAATGCATTTCTCGTAATTGTTATGTTTATTGTTAGCAATTAGTTTCATTATGGTTGCGTCGGTTATTTTGCGGGCAACAGCCACTTCTCGTCAAATGTTAAGTGCTAATTTGCGGCAAGATTACACAAGTCACAAATTTGGTAAATTGAAATTGATACGTCTGCTGGGAATGATTGTATCATACAATACGTTTAATTGATTATGAAACAAATTACTATATATATTTGGAAGAATGGAAATGATAAGATCAAAATAATTAATCATTTTTTGAAACTAGAAAGTTTGCCATATGTAAAATTTGATATTTATGTAAAGTGTATGATAAGTCACGCCATACGTACTCTTTTACTTCACTTTTCTCCATCGATTTCAAATTCAGTAGAGAATTGGTAAGTAGAAAAGATATGGAACTTGCACACCGCATATCCTAACATATAGATATATATTTCCCTCATGTGACAGCTTTAGTGTTCTTCTGACCCACTTGATCCTCGTCCAAGTGGAGTCGGAAAACATTTAAAAAACAAACAGAGAAGTTATCGTTCTTTTCCCTCTCAATGAAACATCTAATTGACAAGTACATTATTTCTTAATACCGTATGAATGCGCGGAATTTCATTAAGCGAGCGCCATATTCAACGAGTCGCGACACACTCGAAATGTATTTCGGGACGTCGACATACGTACTCTTTTACTTCACTTTTCTCCATCGATTTCAAATTCAGTAGAGAATTGGTAAGTAGAAAAGATATGGAACTTGCACACCGCATATCCTAACATATAGATATATATTTCCCTCATGTGACAGCTTTAGTGTTCTTCTGACCCACTTGATCCTCGTCCAAGTGGAGTGAGAAAACATTTAAAAAACAAACAGAGAAGTTATCGTTCTTTTTCCTCTCAATGAAACATCTAATTGACAAGTACATTATTTCGAGTATGCAAAAACGAATACTTAAGGATGACAGTAATTTCTTAATACCGTATGAATGCGCGGAATTTCATTAAGCGAGCTCCATATTCAACGAGTCGCGACACACTCGAAATGTATTTCGGGACGTCGACGTAGCTCCGGGCACGACACACAAAAGCGCGACTGTG